TTGCTCCAAGAATCTGAAATTACGTGTCTCAAAGATCTCTTACAACAAATCCCTCCGCAGCCAAACAGCAAAATTAACAGCAAGCCTGCCCTCACTCTGCAGAGCTCCCAGTCTGCTCAGGAAGATACTCCTTCGGTCACAAATATGTTCTTTCCATAAAGGACAAATAAACAACAAATACTGCTAAGAGCTGAAATGTCAACATGCATGATTCATCACTCTGTTCATTAGTGATGCCACCAGTCTCCCAGATGACTTCCCTGCCAAGAGCTCGCACATCGCTGCTCAGCAGCAGCAGCAGCGCCCCGGCGGCACGCACAGACCTGCCCCAATAGGAACAGTAACACCAGCTCACCGGGATCCTGGGTGTTCCTCAAGTATCTACATGTACCTCTGCCAAACTGCCTCTTAAGGATTCCTACCTCAGGTTACTTCTTCAGTAAAGCTAAATAATCCTCATCTTTACAATGCAACAGGAGAGATGGGAGAGAAAAGGGGGGGGGTGGGGAAGAAACTCCTCAAATTTTAAGTTCAAACAAAGTATCAGTTTTAGCGAAAATGCCCTCCACTCAGAGCAGGAAAAAACTTCACCAAAACTACTGAGGAAACAAAACTTACACCAAATTTTGCTTTATGCAGAATACATAGAAACTCAACTATTACATACACTTTATAAAAGCCATGAATAAGTAATGATTCCTTCGAAATCAAATAATGACACAACATGGTACAAACCCAAAGTTGAGCCAAATGGTACTTCTTACGTTTTATCATTACTAATTAATGTTCTCTTATAGAGTATTTTTCAAGAGAGAGTTTCTCACGCCACAGTATAAATTCTGCCATTTGATGAACTTTGGAAAGACAGGGAATAAATGCTACCCGGGAAGAAAGCCAGGCTGCTCGGGGAACTCAACAGATTAATCAAAGATTTCTCTTCCTGAGGAGCTGAAACACCATAGTCCCATTACCACAGCACACAGAACACAGAGCATTTTTATTCACAACCTAGTAAAGTAACTTCTGCTCTCTCATCAGAATCCCACAGGCAATTCCATGCTAAATTCCTCTGCAGTGTGTTTAGCATCCTTGCTAAACTAGATCCTTTCATCACAGGCTGCTGAAGTAGAAACTTGAGGAACCCTGTGATGGGACAGCTTCACAAGGGATAATTTCAAGGCCAGGCTCTAAATTCCCAGCTTCTCCCTTTCTAATGCAAGTCCACAAAACAAGAGCTATTTCCTCTAAGTAATGTAGAACTTGTATTTAAAGTAATCACTTTTTAAATTAATTTAAAACAAACAACTGCATTTTAGCCCCATACAATAACGGAACTGGAACCATTCTAAGTAACATAACTAGAATTTAATTTTTCTGAGCTCATAAAATCCATCTGGCAAATGAACCAGAGACAAATGACCCAGTTCACTGGATCAAGTATTTGCAGGTGCAGTGAGCTCCAAACACTAATTTATCTCCAACGAGTGCAACAGGCATGTTCTCCACCTTCAAGTTACAACGAAGGTGCGATTCTGGGTTGGGCTGGAGCTAATGTTTTTTTGCAGTAGCTCACACGGGGCCATGTTTTGGTTGAAGACTTGAACTACTTTTGAGTAGTTCAAACAGAGTCAAAAACAACCAGTGGGGTCAATTCTGCTACCACTGGCGACCATGGTAACCTCCCAAAGCCCATACTGGCAATGTCACTATGTCCTGTGTCAACACAGAGCTTCACATGTCCTATGGATGCTGAAAGAATTCCCAGAAGTGGGCACTTATTTATCACATTAGAAACAAAGCACATGACAATCTGAAATTACCGATCAGGCTGACTCCGAGGGTAACCAATGACGTAACAAAGGCTGCAAGACCGTGAGTATTTGTGGAGTGCTGAACATAAACCATTCACTTCCTGTACACCAAAAGGTGCCATTTTAAGGCTTTGTGCAATAAGCCAGACACAAGTTCCCAACTGGCATCAACCACTCAGAGAGCCCACGGCTGCCATAAAGGAAAAACTCAGCCACTCTATTTCCTACTCCTGCATCCTCCTCCTGTCGCTTTCGCGTTCCACAGGTCAAGTTCAGTTTGTTGATCCAGCAATAAATGAACTCCCCAACATAAATAGTTGCCATTCACACAACAGCTGCTCAAAAGTTCCAACGCAGCACATGACAGAGCGTCCACAACACTGCAGGTGGGGGAACGGGGATGAGAGGTTACTGATTCGGCACCACTTCTTAAAATCTGCCTAACCTCATCAAGAAACAACACTCAAAGCCATTTGTTTGTCTGGATGTCAAAGGAAATTACCTTGTCAAAGGAAATAGCCATTGTACTCTAAAGAAAATTCATCCTCCAAAGTTGAAAGAATCAATGCTTATACATCAAAGCGACAAGAAATAAGGGGTTTGTTTTTGAAAAAATTTCAAAGTAGAAGATTTTCTTAATAGTGCAAAACATGGGATTACAGGCTCTCAGCTGATCTCATGTCTAACCACCTCTAGAAAAGGTAAACCTTGATGAAACACAAGGAAGGATGTAATCCTTCTCTTTTTCTAATGGGAAAAACCATGCACAAATTTGGGAGGGTCACAGGTCCAGGTTTTTGTCTTTCATGTACCAAGGGGTTGTTTCAGTTCTCTGGCTTCCTTATTGTTTTTCTTTTGCAATCTAACAAAATTTATGGAATTTTAGCAAGAATCCTGAAATTAAACAAAATACAAGATTATAAACTAATGAACACATAGTATAAATAACTTAAATGTGTCACAGGCAGGCCTGACATCAAAGTGTTCTTAAACACACATATATATAACGTACATAAACCCACACTTGCAAAACTCAGAGTATAGTGTGTGTAATGCTGTCCATGATACATATTTGGGCCTTAAACCATTTGCATTTATGGTCATTAATATTAATACGTGAGAATTTGCAAGCAGGAAGTTAGACATGCTTGTCTGCAATACATTAAAAAATTCATCTTATAAAAATTCCCCATACATAAGAGGTATCCTCATGGATTTCTCAACATCAACATATATATCACTGGTATTTCTAAAGGTTTAACTGAAAGTAAATCTAGTGCATGCAACCTTTAATTTAAAACAACCCAGAAGCTCCCAGAACATCATGGGAAAACCAATGGAAAAGACAGAAAGATGAGAACAAGAGACGAATTGTACAAGGCAATCAATACTGATAAGGAGTTTATTTTATAAAATTATATTAGTCATCCAGTTACCCTGAATACATAACCACATGTGAAGTAATTCACACGGTAATTACAAGTCCACATTGCAGGCCGGTATGCTCCAATATTCCACGGCCACAGCAGAGATCCAAACAGGATATGACCCTGCCACTCCAACAAAATTGGGGTAAATTTGGAGTACAGTCTTTCACTGTGTAGGATGCCCTTACGACGAGTCACTACAAAAAAGAAGCACAACTCTAAGTAGTTTATTTTCTTAGAAGCCCTAGAGTCATAAAAAAGCCACAGGCCTCAAACTGGTCGAGATAGTCTTTGCCTAAGCATTACTGCTCTCTTTCCACCAACACTTTGTATGCAGAGCCAAAAAAAGAGATTTTGATAACGGCAAGTGGCAATATACTGTATTTCCTTCATTCAACCACAGGTCTGTCATGCATTTCCTAGGTAAGCATTCCTCCACACCAACTGCCCATAATTTAAGGTGTCTCTCACGGCACAGTAAAAAGCCCCATGTGACCATAGCCAGCAAATCCTCTTCAAAACAAACATTCTCACCAAAAAGGCACTTATTACACCAGCTCATTTTTTCTTTTTAACTCGTGCCTTAGGAATGGATGTTTCCAGGTGCAGGTTTGGAAAATCGGTTCCGAAGATTAAATAAGGAAAATAGACAACACCCAGCTTTTAGCATTTTGCAGGAATCATTCCACGCTCCAGCCTGAGCAATGTCTCTGGCAGGGTCTCCTGGCCATGTTGCTGCTCTCCACAGCACATTTGCCGTATTTCTTCTTCTCCTCCCAATCCAACACTGATTTGCCTTCGCACCTATATCGTAGCTATGCTGCACTCTCCAGCAGTGCTAATTAGCCTCCATCATTTATTTAAATTCTCCAGATACTTCATTTTCCGTGCACTATTTTCACCTTCAAAAAAGCCTAAAACCCGCACTGGTTCATCATTGTCTAAATCAGCTCGCCGATACTAGCTCCGGAACTTCCCAACGCAAACGGGGACGAGAATCTGCCTTTTTCTTCCAAAACGCCCATCTGAGCGCAGTCTGCCTCACCATCTCGCATTGCTTTTTTGCATTTTAGCCCCCACCAACCCCACCCACGCCTGTAAAAGGAGAGATACAGTGTGTCATTAGGCTCCACACGCCTTACTCACCCCTCCGAGGGCGCAGAGGAAGGGGGTTTAACCCTCCCAGTCCCCGCAAGCAGCGGGAGCGAGGGCGGTGTGTGTTCGCATCATGTGTGCGGTACCTGCGGCACCTCCCGCTAAACACAGTGCGGGCAGAACGGCCTCCCTACAGCCTCCCGCGGGCCCGAGGGGACGGATCGGCATTCCGCAGGGCGGAATAAACACCCATCGCCTACCCCTGCACGCAGCTTTCTTTTCAAACACCATAGTCGATTTCTTTGTAAACAAAATAGTCAATTTCTCATTGAAGAAACTCGCTGCTCGCGCCGACCCCGCCTTTTCCCGGCGCTCGCCGCCGCCGCATCCCAGTCGAATTAGCGAGGCACCGACAGCGCGGGCTCCCCCTGCCCGGGAATCGCGGGGAGGAAGCCCCCCCCACACCAGCCCTGTCCTTACGCTCCCCTCGGCCCCGTCCCTGCCCGCCGGAGGGGCGTGGCAGGGACCGCAATCTCTCCCTCCCCCCCACCCCCGACACACCGCCGGGCGTTGGCCCCTCACGGTGTGTCCCTGTCGTGTCCCACCCCAATCTGGTGCCGCGGGGGTTCACTCGCACCCTCGCGCCTGGCGCTCTGCTGGTGCTTACCTGGCGCGGAGGCTGCCGGCGGCCCCGGGCAGAGCGCGGCTGCGCCTCCCTCTCACCGCATCGCCGGGAACCGCCGCCGCCGCGGCGAGCGCGCGCCCGAAGGCGAGGGGGCGGGGAGCGGCCGGGCTCGCCCCTCCTCGGCGGCTCCTTCGCCGCCCTCCCGCCCGCTACAGCGCCCCCTCCGCCCGTCTGTCCGTGCCCGCCGCGGCCTCCCTGGGGGCCGCCGCTCCTCCTCTGCCGCCTTCCTCTTCCCTGTCTCGGTGCCTTCGCTCGGTCGCTCCGAGCTCGCCGCCGTCGTCGTCTCACGGGAACCCGCGGAGGGCGGAGAAGGGAAGGGGCGCGCGAGCGCGCGCGCTCCCGGGGCTCCCTACCCACCACCCCCCATGAGCGCGCGGAGGGGCGCGGCCAAGCGCGGCCTCATGACGAGGGCACGGCTACACGGAACAGGCGCGCCGCGGTCCTCTAGAGCGCCGGCTGCGCTGCGGGGGGTTGCTGTTGGGTCCGCGCCGCGCCCGTTGCCTTTCCTTCCTTTCCTTTTCCTCCCCACCCCTTCCTCTCCGGCCGTACCTGGCGCAGCTGCGGAAGGCGGCGGGGGATGCGCCTCGCCGACACCCTGCCGCCTGTACCGAGCCTCGGGCGGGAGCGGGGCAGCAGCGCCCGCGCCTGGCGAGCCACAGGCGCTGAGCGGGGAGGCGGGCGGGGTGCCGTGGGGCGGGGGCAATGCAGGGGCGGCGGCAGCCGCGCGGGATCCGCCGGGGAGGGGGTGACGCGGCGGCGGCTCCGGCTGAAAAACGGGACGTGCCCGAGCCATGCGCGCTCGCAGCGCGGAAAGCTGATCATATCCTGGGTTGCCTCCGCACCCCTGTGAGGCAGCATGTCCAGGGTCTCTCTGCCCCGCGCAGGTGAGACCCCACCTGCAGAGCTGCCTCCCCCGGGATCCCAGCGTAGCAAGTACGTGGAGTTGTTGGAGTGAGTCCAGAGGAGGCACCAATATGATTAGAGGGATGGAGCAGTTCTGCTCTGAGGAAAAGCTGAGAGAATTGGGATTGTTCAGCCTGGAGAAGAAACCAGGGGTGACCTAATTGTGACCTTCCAGTATGCGAAGACAGTCTACAAGAAAGCCGGAGCCCGGGGTGACAGGACAAGCGGGAGTGGTTTCAAACTGGATGGTCTTCAAGGTCGCATCCGACCCAAACCGTTATATGATTCTGTGAGCTGCAGGGAGGGTCACCCACAAGAGGGGGAGTAGGAAACACTTTCCAGGGCAGCTCCACAGGCGAGGAACAGGCCTCTGGCAGCACCTGCGCAGGGCCAAGGCACCAAAGCCATCTCTGAGGGGTGACCCTGTTCCTGCAGGCACCGCTCAGCCAGGGCTGCCAGAGGGATGTTTGGGTGCTGACACGTCATGATGTGATGGAACACGATGACTCTGGTGCCTGTGAGCTCCTCCAGGTACCTCTGTGTGCAGCAACACCCTTACTGACTTCCACTGGTTGTTCTTAACAAATGAGACTTCTGGAAATAATACCTGGAAACCAGTATGTTTTACTGATCATCACATACAATTGAAGACCAGAGGCACAAGGAGCATACAGGAAATGCTGTATTGCCTGTTAAAGCTAATATAAACATTTTTAAATTACCTCAACAGTGAAACCAGCAATCCAGTCAGCATCTTGGTGTTGTTTAATTGTCCGTGTGAATGAAATGTAAGTGACAGAAATTTGGGGTTCTCATCAAATGGAAAAACATTATTTTTGCACAATAAAAATATATGGTAAACGGAATACTGTTTTTTCACTGATTATTTCCCTTTAAGAAAACTAATATTTTTGTCTTAGTCAACAAAATAATCTTTCTAGTCCAGAACAAAATGTTCCCTTTAATTAAATTATCTCCACTCCCTTGGGATGGATGCCTCATTAAACCTCCTGGGTGCAGATTGTTTGCCTCCATCTCACCTTGGAATGGCTAAGAGCTTTACATCACATCTGCTCACAGTGCCAAATTAATCACCAAATAAATTAAACAACAGGGTAATCTTCAGTTGTGAGTCAAGAAAATGACTTGTGCAAGAAATAAACTGCAATAGAAAGAATCCTACCTAGGAACTGTTAATGAAACCCAGAGAGAGCACTGGTTTGGGTTTTGTGCATATTTGTAGCAGAACCGATGAACAAGATGGCAAGTTTCTGGAATGAAGCTGGGATCAGAGTGAATGCAGACTTTCCATCCACATCATCTGTCAGTGCAGTTGCTGGCTTTTGCCTTCTCAGAAGAGTGGCATCACAGGAGACAGTGCAACAAGCACTTAAGCAACAAATTACAGTAGGGAAATCTTCCAGGATCGTTTTCCTCTAAATCTATACTCTCTTGCCTACCTCATTACTTCCTGCACAAGTGCTTTTCAGAATTGCTTATCTTCTGCTGCCCTTTAGTCCTTTTTAACCACATATACCGAGTGGAAGACAAAGCCAGAATAATTCCCATTTTTCCTTCAGCAACTTATTAGCATAGCAAATCACTGACTGTGCTGTTACAGTTCCAAGGAGGAATAATAGTTCCACCTACAAGAAAATACTCTCAGAACTGATGTCAACTGCTTGTATTTGTATCCATATCACTCCTAAGAAAACATATTTCAAGGCACAGGTTTGTGAAAGAGAAGGGAGGATCTGAGTGCCACATCCAGTCGTCCTTTGGACACCTTCAGGGATGGGAACTCTACCACCTTCACAGGCAACTCTTTCCAATGCCTGATCCACCCCTTCCCTGAAGAAATTCCTCCTAATGTCCAACCTGAAAGATGTCAAAGGGAATTAAATAACACCAAAGACACAGCTTCCACATGGCAACAGAGGAGTCAGTGTCTAAATATATAGTTATTTGTGTCCAGTCTAGACCTTTTGTTAGCCCCAGGCAAGAATTCCAGTGAAACTATGCCGTGCCCATTTCCTACGTGGCCCTGTCTGGCCGTGGCCAATACACACAGGCAGGTGTGTATGAAGGTTGCCCCAAGTGTCCCTGGACAATGTTTGGAGCTTTAGGAATTCCCGAGGCACACAGGACCCCCAGCTATTGACGCTGCACACACTGACTCCATGTACCAGTGTAAGCTGGGGACTTCAGAGGGAGAACTCGAGGAGGCATGAAGGAGCTTTGTCAAGTCACCCCTTGGGCTTGAAGTTCCTGCGGCAGAGGACTGAGAAGAAGGCATCCATCATCTGCTGCTGACAGCCTCTCTTGCATTTACCAAGGAGCCAGATGCCCCTGGAACATAGGGAGTTTTCTCTGGGACACACAGCATGCTGAGCCCCAGGATCCGGCTTTTCACACTCCCTGAGAAATACAGCACCAACCTGACCAGGCCTGCACAAGCACAGCTGCAGGTATCTCAGGAATATCAGCACCAATCACCTACAGCATTTAAAGCCTTCCAGATTCACTGAGGCGTGAGGGGGAGTTGCAGGATCACCATGTGATCTTTGAAGCAGAGATCCAGTCCAAGTTCCCTTTCGGTCACATCCACACCTTTTACATCTTACCATTATAACCACTCCTTCAAACAGCTCTTTGTTCAATCTGGGAGCCAAAAACTTCCCATAAAACCTCAATCAACTCTGCGTGTTTGTACTGGGAGCTGCTATGAAGTTTGCACAACAGCAAAGACAAAATTTGGCTGTAGTAAACAACATGTTTTCTCTTAAATAGCCAGAACCCCTCCAGGAAGCTATAAAAACACTAGGTCTCTTAAATCATCTGTACCACCAGATCTTCTAGATGAGCTCTGTTAAGTGTGACCATATAAAAAATAAATACTGCTTACAGTATTTGTTATCTAAAAAATATTTGCCTGTGGAGAAAATATTCCAGTGTAATCCTGTAAAAGTGAGATACTAATTTTCTTCACACTCCAGCAGTCTGATGAAACACATGGCCTGCCATCCCCTCAGTAACTAATGAAAGGCAGAGCTATTTGTATAGCCTAGGAACTTTACAAATATTTATTTATTTATTTATTTATTTATTTATTTATTTATTTATTTTCCCAGAAGGAAGGGCGATTTCAGTTTTGCTGACTATTTCATTTTCATTCTTACAATTTTTGACAAGAGCACTGTGAGCTGGGGATAACTGACTGTAGTTTGTCTAAGACTATATAAATACATGCTTTATGACCCTTCTCCCACCACCAACATTGCATTTTAATGCCAGCATTACCCTTCATCTGAGCAATGGCTGACACCGGGGCTTGCTAACAGCTCCAGAGAAGAAAAAAAGAGCAATAGGACGAGTAAGAACAGCTTTATTTTCTTGTATACACCTGTTTTGGGGGAAGATGACCAGGCAAAAAAAAAAAAGAAAACGCATTTTGGGAATCTCAGAATTAATACTAGATTTTGGTTTTTTTCAATAATAGAATCCAACAGAGACAGAATAGAATCCAACAGAGAGCTCTGCTGGCAGAACTCAGAAATCCATATAACCAAACCCAAAACTCCCTGCCACACTGAGAACGAGGCTCTGTGGAAACAGAGTGAATGTAGAAGCACACTCAGACTGACACCAAACATTCCTGCTGGCACAGGAAGCTGCTCACAGCCTTCCTGCTTTCCCCCACAGCAGGTGGAAGCACAGGCAAAAGTCACAGTGTTTGATGGAGTTAAAAGGTATTTGGCCAAGAGATGATGAACCATGAGCCATGTGCCCAAGGATTGTGGGGATCCCTGTGTACCCAGAAGGATTTATTTCTATGCAATCAGAGACCCTTTTAGCAGAAGACATGAAGAGGACATCTCCATCCAGAATTTAGACACAGTAACTGGTGAATTTGGTGAGAGAATATTTTAAAAGCATTATCCCTGTCTCCAGAAGGATCCTTCAGCTCTGATGCACTATCCCAAGTAGGCATCGTTATCATGAATGACAACAAAGCTCCAAGTATTTTTTTCATGACATTTCTAAACTGTTTGATTCACTTTAGGAAACTGGTAAGACAGCTGTGAAAATACACCATGTAAAGCACTGTCACGTTACAACGCATTTGGAA